TCAAATGTAGTCTAAACTGGTGCTTGATAACTGCAGTTTAGGACATCCTTCCCATAAAAGTCTGAGAAACGGAGCCCCCCCAGAGCCGGAGCCCAATCATGCCAAGACTGAAGAAAAGGCGGTTCTGGGAAAACTGGCAATGCACGGGCCTCTTAAAGCTGCTGCTGGGATAATGTCCTCACAAAGTCCGCTTTACACAACAACAACAACAACAACTCAAAGGGCCAAAAAAAAACACACAGCACAAAACAAAATTGCTTCCATAAGTGCAATAATGACACTTGAAAACACCCAATGCCATGTGCATTTAATGGACCAATGCTCTAATTGTCTGATTCTAATAGTCACATTGCACAGCTATTTAATCACTTTATTTTGTCTGTCCATCTAAAATAAAATACAAAAAAATAATAATAATTGGATTTATTTATAAAATATAGATGACTAATCATTTAAATAACTACTACTCTTACTCAAATAACTTAGGAACACTTCATCAGAGCTGATGGCATATTAAAGGGGTCATATGATGCCATTTCAATTTTTCCTTTCTCTGCGGGGCATAGAGGAGAAACAATAATGTACAGTATGTGGAAAATAATGGGTTTTTTTTACTTTAAACCGCATAAACACATTGCATTACACCAAATACACAAAATAATGTTCTTTTTAGCAGCATCATATGACCCCTTTAACAATAAATGAATAGCAATAATAATAATAATAATAATAAATAATATATATACACACACACTTGATTATATATATATAATTTAAATAATATAAATAACATTTGTATATTTTTAAATATAAAAAGTAATTTATTAGTATGAACTATTTGTTTAAATAAATTCTAAAGCTTCATTACAGGTCTTCATGGCATTATTATTGTTGTTGCTGTTATTATTATTTACTTATCATGATTACTATATTTATCATTATTTATTATTATTTATAATTTAAATAACTACTAATTTTACTCAATTAACTTATGGATGATTCAGAGCTTGTGATGCCATATTAACAATAAACAAATTAATAGTTTAATTGATTAGTATGAATTTTACTCTTTTAAATAACTTTTAAAGCTTCATTAGAGATCTAGAAGCATTATTATTATTATATTAATGAAAAAAAAAAAATAATAATAATAATAACAATAACAAGAAAAACATTAAAACATTTTTGTTTCATACTTATGTATTTGAAAAAAAAAATAATAATAATAATAATAACAATAACAAGAAAAACATTAAAACATTTTTGTTTCATACTTATGTATTTGATCATATTTTATTACGATTAATTATATTTTTAGAACTTCTGAATGATTCAAGATAGCATAAAGATGCTGAATCAAATGACTCTGTGTGTTGAAATATGCTCTCAAAAACCAGGAATAAGACTTGTAAATGAGGACCGCAATGCACTGCTTGTTTTTAGTGGGTACGTTATGCAGTGTCAGCATTGAGTGGAAGTGCGGTGGAAACTGCTGGAAGAGGGAGTGAAGATATTCAGACAGACTGAGAGACAGATGGACAGACGAAGAGGAGTAGATGTGAATGGAAGGAGAGAGAGACACAAAGCAGGGGTGCGGGGCTTAATCAGGACAACAGACAGCAGTCTGACCCACCCAGACACACAGCAGACATCTGCAAGGCTCCGGCCTCAGGCTGTTTGTGGAGCAAACACACACACACACACACACACACACTCCCCATCATCTCACACACGTCATTTACATCCCTATTGTCCCACACACCCCACCCCCTCTCTAGGGAGCATCAGAGCAGGTTGGCTGCTGCCCTCTAGGGTCAAACCCACTGACCTAAATGACCTGCACAAACAGCCCCTCCCCCTTTCCTCCAAGCCCTGTCCTTCCTTTATGTCTACTATGTGTCTTTATGTCTAGAAGGACTGTCTGCTGTCTGGAGACACGCACACATTTGGGCATGTCTTTATGCAGATGTAGCACTGACAAAACTCTAAGATCGTGTCAAGTTTGCTGTTTACACCTGGAATTAACATCCGATGATCCAAGCAAGCATGTATCGGCAGGGCTTGATGCTTACCTGTCTCCAATTTGAAACATTTAATAAAGGAATATATACACAAATATTTTCATTTTTATACATCTTTTTAAAATTAAACATTCAATCCTACTCATTTAAAATAATTCTACTTATTAACTACTACTTTTACTCAATAACTTCTGAATGCTTGTGGTGGCACAATTATTAGTAGAGATGCACGATACTGAGCTCCTGTACTCATACTCGTTAAAATGCCCCGATACCAAACGCCGATACCACACAGCATGTGATAAGTGCCATATTCAGACAAAGAAACACCGACAACAGAACAACAGACAGCTGAATGGGGTTATTAGAGATTAAGGATATCTATGAAGTATATGTATACAATTAATATAATGTTAAGCATTCAGTATTGACGAACTAAATCATAAAAATAAGACCATTTATAGAGGCATTCACTATAAACATCATTTATTTTCAACCGTAGGCATTCACGACTTTCTGGCGAAAGTGAATCTGGCAGCCTTTGTGAAATGCGCTAGACTGTACTACTTGTCCCTCTCATTCTGCGCCAGTACAAATACGTGTGCGCGTTGTGCGTGTTTTGCTTGCTTCATGAGTGTTTCTGCATTATATGAGTGGCTTTGGAATATAAATCACAGCACATTTCAGATGAAAAAACGCGACTTCTATTTCTGAAAATATCACAGTTAGGAGATTTA